CTTGGTTTGGAGTTTCACCGTGGTCGAAATGGTCAGTTAGCGTCTGATTCATTGACCAGTATGACTAACTCTCGGCGAAGAACGACCATCAAGGAGGCGGAGCAGTCCACCTTGCTCCGTCAGCACGTTAGCAGGCCCATGCGTCACGTATTCTATCGTCATATTGAAGAGCAGGGTCTGTCCGTCCAGCTGACATTTGCATGCTTAAAATCAGCTGGCTTGATGTCTGAAACTGAGGGATTCATTTGGGCATGTCTGGACGGTTTAATAAACACCCCAGTCTATCGAAGTCGTGTTATGGGGTTACAAGTTCCGGACACTAGATGTTGTGCTTGCAAATAGTCCGCAAAAACTCTGATACATCTTTTATCAGTTTATCCGACGTATGCAATCACAAGTTATATCCATCGTCATAATGCGGTTTTGAGAGTGCTATATTATCAGTTACGGCACTCCTAGAGAATAGACAGAACACCGGTACTGCCTTACCGTCGTCGTCAGGTGTGAGATCTACTGGAACTTCCCATTTGCGGCTGTCAGGTCTATCGCTGCAACCACACCTGACATTGTCCTCTTCGATTTTGACGACAAAATCATGTCATTGAGTTCTCGACTCCGGTCGAGAGCAATGTAACAGTTAAGGAAGAGGACCAGCGGCTCAAGTATCAACCACTCCTGTTTGAGTTACGTCAACTTAACCAGGAGTTCAAAGTAAAATTGGTTGTCCTAATTATTCGCTCTCTGGGGGGATCGAAGCAGTCCTTTATATTTGCGTTCGAAACCATCCCGGCCTGTAAGCGTAATGCCATCATATTAGCTGGCGAAATGCACAAGGCTGTCATCCTTGGGTCCCTCCGTCTACTTAGGCAGCATGATTTCTGGACTGCAGTAGAGCTCACCCTCTGGTTAGAGGGAGCACTATTGTAGAGCGATTAGGAGAAGTTTGTATGGCTTAGCTTGCTGGGCGGTCTTCTAAATAAAGTCGGAGCCCTCGAGGATCGCGCAGCGATCTCATTTACGAGTAAAAAAAATAACAATTTGCGTTACTACCATTACACACTGAATAAGGCAGTCCTTCTGCCTTCGCTAATTAGCTAATTAGGGAGAGATTTGTCGAGAAGGTGCGCGTTCTAGGGCCCACCGAGCGGTCTCTGGAAAAGCGGTTACGTCGAGTAGTTGACAATTCTGCCTTCCACTCCGATCCCAACTGTTGGTTTGATCCGCCAACACCTGCACCTGATAGGATGCCTTTAGTCATGCGAGTTGAAGAGTTCTAGAGAGATCTGTATGGTCAAGTCCCTACTCTCATCGTGGAGGCTTTGGCGCTTAGGAAATTTCGTGCGTTCTGTGAAGTATAACCTCTGGTTGATCACTATAATATCTGGTGAAACGAAGCTGACTTCGGAGTTGGTGCAATCCAGGAGAGGAGTCTTTAAGGGTGATACCCTAAATCCACTTTTGTTCTGCATCTCACTGATGCCGCTATCTGTTGCACTGCATTGTGTGGGCGGGTACTAAGCCGAAAGACCTGGCGATAGAAGGCGTCAGATAAGCCATATATTCTATACGGATGACCTGAAACTGTTTGCCTCAGGGGAGCGACAACTCAAACTTCGGCTTGATGTTGTCGCGGTGTATTCGCGGGTGGTCAATATGAGCTTTGGGTTGGACAAGCGCCGTCTTCCACTTGGAAAAGGAAGCCTCATCTTCCTTGAGAGGTGTAAGATCTATTGGAACTTTTCGTTTGCAACCGTTAGGCCTGTTGTTGCAACAAAGCCTGCTATCGTCCTCTTTGATTTTAATGACAAAACGATCTGTCATTGAATTCTCGGCTCTGGCTGAGGGCAGCATTTCAGTGAAAGAGAAAGAGAAGCGGCTCAAGTACCAACAACTCCTGTTTGAGCTACGTCAATTGAATTGGGGCTTCAAAGTGAAGTTAATTGTCCTTATTATTAGTTTCCTTGGGAGAATGAAGCAGTCTGTCGTATTGGCTGGCCAAATGTACAAGGCTGTCATCCTTGGGTCCCTCTATCTACTTAGACAGCGCAATTCTGGACTGCCCTAGAGCTCACCCTTTGGTTAGAGGGAGCACTATTGTAGAGCGATTAGGAAAAGTTTGTATCGCTTAGCTTGGCGGTCTTCAAGGTGAAGTCGGAACCCTGGAGGATCGTTCAGCGATCTCATTAACAAGAAAGTAATAATAATCTTTCAATCCTTTGGTCTAAAAACGGGGTTTCAGGAATGAAATGATTCATTTTACAATGTTCCCCCCACTTTTTTGCATTTGTTATTGTTCATTTTTTGAAAAGTTGACTTTTTTAGTTATTTTACAAACTGTACTTTTTAAGTAAACTACGTCTGAAAGGATGCGCCAAATGACTGAATGGTTTTCTGTCGACGAGCCCAAAGCAATTTCTCCGTTGTAACTCCATGGGTCACCCAGAGTAGAGAGCATTGCAAAGTACTTATTTCCCTAAAGTACCACTCGAAGTGGAATACAAAATTAAGGAAAAATAAGGATAATAAAAATAAGGACTTTTTCCTCGAAATTATGCGTAAATTTAGTGTTGCACTACATCGAATTAAAAATAAATTTCTTCCTTCGAAAGATTATATTTTTTCACGCATTCACCTAAAATTTCAAATTGGAACTCGTGATACAAGCTGAACAATCCTACTAGATGAGTGCAAAAATGGACAATTTCCTTGGAATTCCAAGGATTTAATGTTCGACGTCAGTATAAAATTATTTGTAAACAGACAAAAAGTAATTTTGCATAATTGCCTTTATTCATTTTCTAACCATTGCACATAATCATGCTGTCATTGTAACGAAAACCTCAAATAGTTGTTGGTTATTATAAAATTACTCAGGTTCTATCAGGAGTCCCAATTAAAAATTTTAGGTGAATGCGTGAAAAAAAATGTTCTTTCAAAGGAAGAAATTTATTTTCAATTCGATGTGGTAGAACAATAAATTTACACATAATTTCGAAGAAAAAGTTGATTTTAAGGGTACCTTTATCCTGATGAAAACAAAAAATTTACATTTTTTTTCATGAAATTCAGGATTTTTCCTAAGAAAAATCGATGTAACATTTTTTTGTAAAATTGAAAGTGTAGCCATCAGATTTAATCGAAAACGCAATAGAAAAAAACTTCCATCTGAGGTTTCTCCACTATTAACAGAGTTACGAGACTAAAAATTTAGGACAAAGCTCTCCTGAATATGTACAACAAAGGGTAAAACTTGCAGCCCAATCTAAAATTTTACCTCGATATTAAGAAGAATTGTCATATATTCCTAGGACAATAAAAATAAGAAATAAAAATTGATAGCATATACCCCAATGTGTGAGTGCTATTATTATTGTACGAAGTAGATTTATATCATTTACCGACCGTATCCTAATCGACATTTAAGATGTCAATTGACCTCTTAAATGTCAATTAGGACACGGTGTGCGGTAAAAATTGATTATTGTGTCAATCTGAATTCCAATCAATAGGACTGCAGTTTTCTTCAAATTTTGCAGTGAAGTGGGCGTAAAATTATCAGCTCTAATACCCCAAGACCTTCAAAATTGTCGGATATTTCCCGAATGTTTTGTTGCATGGCAACAAGAGGGATCAGTTTCGCACATTATGATCCCGAGCGCGCAGCGGGAGGGATTTTAGTGCAAAGCTGACCCCGATCGTTGATATGCAGGAAAACTTGAGGGAAATATCCGATGAATTTTGAAGGTCGAGGGGTATTCGGAGGACAATTTCTTCAATTCTGATTTTGGCCGATCATGCAGTGTTCGGGGTTACGGGACACATTTCACTAAAACGTGAAGAATATCTGTCACATTCGTAGAAAACAATTGACAGACTACAGGGAAATTATCAGTCTGATAATTTCCCTGCAGCCGGGGAAATTATCACTTGTAATACCACAAGAGCTTCAAAATTATCGGGTATTTTTCGATAGGTTCGTTGCAAACAAACGAAGGAGTCAAGTTTTTCAGGTTAAAAAATCACGAGTGCGAAACTTAACGACTTCGTTTGGATGCAGGGAACCTTGAGGAAAATGCTCGATTAATTTTGAAGCTCGTATGGTATTCGGGGGATTATTTTTCCAATCCAAATGTCGGGCAATATAATTGAACCATGAGACAAAACTCACAATTGAGAAACGAAAATTGTATAATTAACACAACGACACAATTGAATTCAATCTATCAGTTTGACGAGGGGTTAATTCGACTGCATGATGTTTTTTTTATATAGCAACTACCAGAGAAAATTATCAAAAAATTATCAGTTGAAAACCCTGTAGCTTGTACCACGTGATGTCGAATGGGCCAATTATATTGCCCGATATTTGGGTTGGAAAAATAATCAGTGTGAAACGCATCACGTGACCCCGAATACTGCACTCTGATTGGTCAAAATTCGAAGTGAGGAAATTGGCTTTATAATTTTTCGGTTATTTTTCCTAAACAATTTTTTAACTTCCCGACCCTAAGGGAGGAAGTCATTTTTATTTTAATGAACCAAGTTTAATTAAAAAAATCCAATTCTTTAACCCCTGAGAACGTCAAATACATTAAAATAGCTCCAAGTTCAGATGAAAAAAATTAATTCACCAAATAAACCTTGTGCCTCAAAACTAGTCGGAAAGGTTCATCAATTTTCTCTGCATATTTGTGAGTGGAGCCAGCTTGGGAAGAAATCTCTCGCGCTGAGCACGTGAGATATTTAAATTACTGACCTCACGTGCCCCCCTCACTCACCATTTTATGCAGCGAGACTATTGAACACATTTCCCCAACTTTGAAGTACTTGGAGCATTATGGCTGATAATAAATATTATAAGAAATAACCATCACGGGACCTTTTTTTATGGAAAACTATTTCAGCTACAAAAAGGTTTACTGGCATTTTCAAAAGTCATTCGTTTCCGAAATAATCATATAGTTAAATAATTATGCTAAGTTTTCTGATGTTAACTATACCTTCAAACCGAGAAACTTGATGCTGAGACTTCCGTTTGAATTAGTTGGAACTGGACTGAGATCACAGCGTAATCTCCTATGTGATTTTTCCACCAGTGGACGATTATTAATATCAAATTCCAGGGAATTACCAATGGGAAAACGACTGGGCGTGAGCACAATATCTTCCGTGTGTTTTTTATTGCTGCTCACCGGGCTCACTGCTTTATTATCATTGCAGCATCTCGGCATTGCACGAGATCACTTGTCTTCCAAAAATTTATTTTCTTTTTCTCTCTCAGGGAAAATTGTCAGTTTAATCATAAATTCCACAATGAGTAATTCGTTTTTTCACTTTACGTCCAGATTAGTAATTCAATATATTACCAATTTTTCAAAATTAAAAACAAATAATCACCCAATCTGTGACATAACTCTGTTTCACGATATTAAAATTCTTGCTTTGCGTCCAATTTAATTTCCAAAATAGTTGTTGTATTGATTTGTATTCGTTCGTCAACCAAAATCCATGAGAGTGTCGGACGATCGAGTGCTACGTTACTGTTACTGTTGAATGAACATCTGCCATCTGTAAAACATCATGTCAAAAATTATGAAAAGATCGAATGTTTTCAGTCAACCAAGTAATCAATTTCAATTCGTAGGAAAATATTTAGAGATCCAAAGGAGATAGGGCAATTTTTACATATACTCCTGATTGACGTTCAAACTATGCTTCATAAATAATATGGCCATGATAATTGGTCTATTCCCTTTGATTCCAATAATATTCATGTAAACATATTCAACATGTTAATTTTTACAACTTCAATTTTACAACTCTTCATACAGCCGTATTAAAATTGCAACTCTCAACAATTACGAACCTATTGTTACAATAGACGAATAAGTAGGCGTATTTTTAAACATCCGACCCAAGTTCTAATCTGAAAATTAAATTTCATGTCTCCCAGTCCTATTTCTTATTGGAATTGGATTTAATCTCACATCGCACACCGCCTTCGATCAGCCTGAAATGGAGAAAAAAATTAGAGAATCGCAGGAAATTCCCAAAGATTATCCTTAAAATCATTTTTAATTGTTTGGTGATGTTTTCAATGGCGATGTTGTTGGAAAATTTGTGAGAACTGTCGATTATACGATTCAACCACCACTGTAAGAGATATTTGTATGACTCATTGTTAGTATTTAAAACAAAAAATGCATTTTTGGGTGACTTGAATGTAAGTGGCCTCCCTCATAACAAAGCAATGTTCGAAGCTTGAATGAATTCTAAAAGGTATCAAGAAAGCATGTAGATGGTCACGTAGCGCCCTCCCAAATATTTGGATGGGGATGCCCCAAAATTAACAAGTGAAATCGTCAAACGGTAACATTCCCTTAACATATATTATTTCGATAACGGATGATAATAAGAGAAATTGTCAAGCGACAGTTTTTGAAACTCAAGAAATTCCAACGATCAATTCCGTCTAAAACCCTCTTATTCTAGTTGAATGGTCAATTGACGTAACTAGTCAATGCCTCATATATTTCTCAATAAAACATATGAAATTATCTGAATAATAAGCCATACCAAGTAAAAAAAGCGAAATGCCATTAGCTCTTGGGATTTTCTTCAACTACAAATAACAATATTTTTTAACCGCTTCTTTAGGACCCCCTCATTTCCAAGATGAATAATAAAAAGTACGATAAAAAAATTGAAGCAGATTTTTCATAGTTCCACACTTCTTTCATCAACATAATCGATAATCATAAGTGTTATTCGCTCAAGAACTGCATTCTCACTATGGTAAATGAGTATTAACATGTGACACTGACACAAGAGTACTGAATTTGTTGGAACGTGGTGTAATATCGACTTTACTAATAAAGTGTCAAGCATCACAAAACGTAATCTGACACTCATAAAACGGTAGGTAGGTAATATGGTGTTGACAGTGCGCAGCACTGATATCAACAAGTCCCTCACGTGTTTTTATTTCTTCATGCAGAAACTGCGCCTCTACTCAAAACAATTATTAAATTGTCAACGACGAAACATTAAACATGAAATTCATGTAAAAATCGGAAAATTCCTCATAAATCCGAGAAAATCTAGAAGGCTCGTGTATAAAACTCAACAGAGTAAAATTTACCCCAACTTGACAATGCGCAAAATAATGGGAATGTCGTCAACACGTGTACTACGCACGAACTGTCTCACTGTCGATCGCCCTCACGGTCCAATGATACTGCCCGGACTGACTTTGGAACAGCGATCCAACCATGCAAAGAAGGGGGACTAAGTATTTGGGATCCAATCCAATTGATTGTATATCATCGATTCTTCTTTTCTACTAGACCATGACGCACGTTCTATGAATTTCACGTTCATAGATACTTGATTCAATCTCTACACATTGATAATCATTTCTGGAACCACCTAAACAACTCCCACTGTTCCAAACCCCCTTCAATTAACTCAAACCCTAGAAAACCCACCGAAAACTTCCAGAAAGAATATTGGAAAGAATTCCTATTATTATATACATATATCCCTAACCCTAATTGGTGGGCCTAACCAAGCTAGAAGAGGGACAAACGAATTTCTCCATCAAAATTTCAAGAAAATAGTCTTTCTAGATTTTCTACATTTTTCTCCACGACGATGTAAATAATTTTTGGAAAGTATCTATTATTATCCATTTTTAAGCTTCTCACAATGATAATAACAATGAGGAAGCAAATCTTGTCGAAATATCTCCGATGAAAGTCACTGACAGTACGCAACAGAGTAACAAAGTATCCTCCGCGACACACAGGCGTCATGGTCGCAGTTGGTAACGACAGAGAGGGAGATAAAAGCAAATGAGATCCCGTAAACTAAAGAAAGATGGAGAACATAGCGATGGAGGAAGGGGGGGAGGAGAAGGAGGAGGGGGCACGTGCGTGTGCAGCTCCGAGGGCACTACGCACACCGCAAATCAAATAAGCTCGCCATTTTCTCTCTCACTCCCACCTCTTCACCGTCCACCGCGCAAACTGCCCAGAGTCTCAACACACAACGGCAAATCCCAAGAGAAAAAAAACGTCATGGGCCTTTACACGCATCACACAACACAGGAAACCTTATGAGAGATACTACAAACATACTTTTAAAACATCATCACCACATTCACCGAATTAAACTCTAAAAAACACCTACACGAACGCAAGTGAATCTCATTTACATCACCAGACCGGAGTCTCACCACGCCAACACAGGATAGAAGTAACTCACACAATCACAGATACCTCGAGACCGTACGGGCCACGATAATGTGACATCTATCCCAAAAATATCGTGCCAGAAGACAGAATGAACATGTTAAAACTATTCAATTGAACAGGGATAGAGTAAAACAGACAGGAGGATATTAATTGTCAATTAACCATTAATCCTATTAAATGACCATTCTTTTTTGCCAATTAAATTTATTATTGACTGCATAACATTGTCCTGACTGAATTAGTGAACACACGATGATAGAGAGTCTCCATCTGAATTTGAGGTTGAACTTGTCAATCAGAACTATTAACCAATCACAAGGGTTATAAATACACGACAAAAAATCGATACTCAATGGAAATTAAATTCAAGAGAAATAAACCGAAAGAACCCGAGCCACCCGCAGTCAGTTCAATCGAACCTCCAAATTAACATTCACCCACTGCTTTTGAATTCACTAAATTATTACTTCTAATGACGCCAACATTCTCAATACCTTACTATGATTAAAACTGGCTGACACTTGAGACTGCAATAGTTATTGGTTATTTATTTGAGGCCGAAATATTCCTCGTACTGTGTCAATCCCTGGCGACTAAGCTCATACAACACTCGCGTGCACGGCACTACCCAACACTACGGAGTCGCAGCAGTGCAACACACAGTAACAATCCCCTCCCTGTACCGATGTACTACCTTCGCCCTCCTCCCGTACACCCCGCCCCTTACCGTCGCTCGTTTTTTCTGTCTGGCCTTAGGTATTTATCGCAGGCGCCACTGCGTTTTTTCTACACTACTCACATTATATATAAATATCTATGTATACATATAATTTTTTGTAAACATTTCGTCCAAGAAAAGCTTTTTCTGCTCTGCAATTGTCTGTACAGAACAGACCAGCACAAAATCCATTAGACACTTCAATAATGAACTGTATTTTATTCGTTAAGTTTTTTTTCATTTTCTATTGGGAAAATTCTGCTTCATCTCTTAAGGGGGTAAAGCCGAGGGCGACGCCTAACGGAGGTATGTGAAGTAGAAGAGTAGAAAATCTGCAAGACGTTAAGGGGTCATTCATACTTGGAATTACTGGGGCATATATATGTGTAGGAGAATCGGTGTGAACGTAACATGGTAGATTTTTTGTAGACCGTAATATATATCGTAGGACGACGAACAGGGTGGTCGAGGAAGGAGGGGGACTTGACAAATGTATAACCCGTACGTGCCTACGTACCTTATCATCAGAGTGGAAAGTTCAATCCAAATTCAGTTTGAGATCAAATGGTTGATGGAATTGTTCATTCGTCTCAAAAATTCGCTAAAATTGGTTTTTTGTGTTAATAGAAATTTCAATGAAAATATTTTTTTGGCAGTGTAACATGGCAATGGAGGATATGAATTCGTTTTACCAAGTGATCATATTCTACCGAAAAAAAAAGTTTCAAACTTGTATGACATTCGAGATAAACAGTGGATTCAGACATTGCAACATTCAAAGAGCGTCTGCTTGTGTTCAATTCACTGAATACAGTATCAATTTGTTGAAAAGAATATTAATTCATTTATCCTTTCTTTTTATTTAAGCTTACTTACTATTTTGTAAACTAAATTTATTCTTATACGTATACATTATTTATTTTATGCAATAAAACAAACACTCATAGAACTATTTCTATTATTGAATTACTTAGATCACAGATCTGGTTTCTATGTTTGTTTCACACCTGACTGTGTTTATTCATGATTATTTAATTTTTTTTCACTTTTCCTTTTGTGCTGTTCTATCATCTGGAAATCAAGGACTGCAACTTGATATACCCATTGGCCTTCTCGAAAAAAATATGAGTTTTCTCTTTCGTTTTATTTAGTCTTTGGTAATAAGGGTTTCATCTTAGATTCCCTATTCTCCTGGAAGAGATAAAAGATAATGTCACTTGTGAAATTTTTAGTTTCATTTTTAGGGTTACTGGAAAGTTTATATTTAGGAATGTTTGGATTGCTTTTTCTCGATTGATCAACATTTTGGTGACATCGGAATCTGCCAATTGTCTTGCTCTGCATCAAAGTGTAGGGAGTGACGTGATGCGCGATCCAGGAATGTGATACGGTGAAGCTCTGTTGCCGGGCCACGTGGGTTTGGAACGTCGACGAATGAGAAACTGAGCGCGTCGTTTGAACGAAATTTTTTTTTCTTCTGTTGTGGACACTGGCGACTGGGAGGATCAACCGGATCAACACATCAGATAGGGGAGATGAGCAGGGCCAATGTACAGTGTTCAACAGCAAAATTCATAGCGGTGGCGCATGGACTACGATGGAGCGTACGGAACTGTTGGTATGGTAGGGCCCGAGCATAAATTTGTCGATAACCGGAAAGGGGTTCTCAATACGGTAGCTCCTCGCATTTTGTAATAATTGTCAGGAATGTAAAATCGAACATATTATAATCAATAGTCTAATGAATGCAGAATCTAATGATCTAAAAGTCTTTTCCTTTTTCTCGACATATTTATTATTGACAAGTAGGTCAAAAAATTCATAGAAAATCCCAGCGCTGTCGCTGGAAAACTCTATAGTTTTCCAGTGATTCTATTGAATAATTGTGCAGATTTTGTTTTTTTTTTTTACTATAGTCATGTTCGATTATATATATTTATTCCCCCCCCTGAGTGAGAAAGGAATATGTATCGCGCTCGCTCCCACTCATTGTCGTCTCCGTCGCGTTGGCA